ATTACCCAAGAGCTGGTGCATTGGCCAGGGAAAGCTACCTTTGGGATGGGTATTACCAAAAGAATTTGCAAATCTTGGCGGTGGGCTGGATGGAGGTAATGGTCCAACGTCACTGGGGGTCCTGGGGCTGGTTGAGAGACAGATGGGGATGGCAGCAGCTGGGAGGGACACATTCTTGCATCCCTGTGAAGCATTTCTGCCCCATCCTTTAGTAAAACATGGGTTTTGCAGAGCAGCGTGATCCGTTGCTGCACGTCATGAGGTGACATTAAGAGTCCAAGGTGAGGATGATGAGGGGTACCAAACCCAGGTGCAGGTGATGCAGAGGAAGGTGAGCAATGGGAGTGGGTTCCTGGGCATGGTCCTGGGGTCCATAGCTGTTGTGAGACACTCAGCAGCGGGCAGGGAGCTGGAAGGACATTTTCAGTCCTGAAATCAGCTTTTCGGAGAATTCACCTGGGATTTCTCCAACTTTTCCATCACATGGCTTCAAGTGTTCTGCTAACAACTCCCAGATGTCAAGAGGGTGCTCCAGGGCCCACTGGCCCCTTCAGGCACAAACTTCAAGGACCCTTCTGACTTTGGGGACAAGCAGAGAAAATGATTTGGGGGCACCTTCCCTCCTTTCTGGGCCAAGGCAGGAGTCACACTCGGTGGAGGTCACTGGGAACATCAGGAGGACACGACCCCATGATAGAAAAAGGATAAAAGATAAACGACAGCACAGGGATTAATGTCAACAGGAAACCAGTGCCTGACAGTCGTCAAGTCAGGAGAGCCAGCAGAGTTATTTGTGGTGAAGAGCTGACTGCGGAGGAAGAGGCTGGGAAACAAACCTCCCAGCCTGAGGCTTCAAGATCTTAATTGACCCCAATTCCTGGAAAAAAAGAGGTGAAGAGGGGCCAGAGGAGAGCCCTGCGGCGGGGTTTGTCCTGCCACGCAAGCCTAGCAGGCTCCGGTGCACCGCGGCTGACGGTAGGCACATGCAGGATGGAAATAGATGTGATTTTTGTAGCTGCAGGGCAATGAATCCTTGGCTTGACTTATCAAGGGAGGAGGTAGCTCACCCTGGCTTCGTGTCTCTTATCTGAACGTAGCTATCTCTTGCAAGCTAGGATTTATTCCAGCTGTAGGGATGTGGTTTGTAACTTTTGGGCACGAGGGACCAAGCTGGATGGCTGTGACAGTCTCAAATCTTCTTCATCCCATGTGTCCTTGGCCCTCAGGAGGAGAGAGCTGGCCACATGGCCCTCCTAAGGTCCACGGCTCTTGTTTTAGGTAAGGATACCCATCTTGGCATCAGTACCTCTAGCTCGGAGCACCCCTCTGCGTTTCCACATCAGGTTGCCTGAACTTTCCTTGGAGCAGCTGGGAAAAATGTCCCATCCTGAAGACACAAGGACTTGAGTCTACAGACCTATTCCCGGCCCTCAGGCTCTGTGAAGATATGCAGCGTTGCCTTGTGTGGTCAACCCTGGAGCCCACGTGTCCCTCCAGCTCCCATACCTGCTGTCACCTCTGTTCTCCCCACAAGCCAGTGGGAAAACCTAAAAACACCACCCTAGCTATGAACCTGCCCAGGAAAGGTTGCTGAGACCCTGTTATGGACAAAGATGAGATGAAGCCCTGGGAATTCTTTTGTCCTCTTTCATCAGAAGCAAATATCTCATCCAGCTGAGGTGATGGGGCTGGAAGAAGGCTACACGTGAGCAAAGCGGTGGGACTGCATCGCTGGAGCTGTGTCCTAAGGGAGGCAGCAAGGTCTGGAGATGCTGAATGATCTATTTAAGATCACAAGAGTGAATTATTATGATCTAGAAAGACTAAACCTCCACATCTCAAGTGCATCTTCAAGGCCTTAATCCCAAATATTACCCATCCTTCCCTCACAAGGATGCTGAATAACTCTGTGCAGATACCAGGCGATGGCACATTTGGACAATATGTATCTGTGAGAGATTCATTCCACACGTACATTCAGAAAAATGAAAAAGCCACGTCACGTGGACATTTCTGAAATGACAAAATCAGGGAAGAACGAATGCGGCCCGGAATAAACAAGGAAGCGGAGTTACCCAGCACGTTTCCTCTGCCAGGAGCATGACCTTCCCTCTGCTGGGAAATGGTCACTCGTTGAAAAGCGAACCTTGGCTACGTCCGAAAGACGCTTGGAGGTGGAAGGAGATGAAGAGGAAACCACTCAGGTGGTTTGAACCTCCCTCACCCACCGTTACGCGGTGTCGGAGATGTGGGAACGGGCAATAAGAGGTTTGTGCTGCTGTTCAAGTTTATTTCTAGCAATGCATTTTTATTTTTTCAAAGGGACTCAGCTCCAAGTCCCCCAGGGCTCAAGGGATCATAGAATCATAGAATGGTTTGGGTTGGAAGGGACCTCAAAGATCATCCAGTTCCACCCCCCTGCCATGGGCAGGGACACCTCCCACCAGACCAGGCTGCTCCAAGCCCCCTCCAACCTGGCCTTGAACCCCTCCAGGGATGGGGCAGCCACAGCTTCTCTGGGCAACCTGGGCCAGGCTCTCACCACCCTCATAGTAAAAAATTTCTTCCTGAGATCTAATCTGAATCTTTTTTCTTCCAATTTAAAACCGTTTCCCCTTGTCCTATCATTACCCTTCCTGGCAAAGAGTCCTTCTCCAGCTCTTCTACAGGCACCCTTCAGGTCTGTAAAGAGCTCAGAGTAAAACTCAGGGAGAAGCAAAGAGAAGTAAAGAGCTTGCAAACCAAACCCCTTGGGGAGAAGGTTGTGAAGGAGCACAGGGGCAGGGAGGTGTTAGGCACAAAAAGTGATGGGGGAAAAACCAGGCATCTGCATATCTGCATGTCTCCTTTTTCAGGTTTTCTTTTTAAACTTCACCTTCGTTAAGGAAGAAGCTGCAGGTGGGGAATATCAAGACCTGGGGTGACCCAGAGGGGTGACAGGGAGGGAGCAGGGGCTGTGCCCACCACCAGGTCAGGGCCGGAGCAGTTGAGGAAATGGAGTTTTGTTTGGTTTTTTTTTTGTTTACACGGAATTTTGTTTGGGGAATTTCTCTGCCTCCGCACACGGAGCCGGGTGCTCAGTCCCTGCTGCTTTTACCTGCTCCCCGTCACCCAAAGGCACCGGGGCAGATTCCCATGGCCGGTCACCCTGGAAAGAGCCAGTCAGACCGGCTTGCCCGCAGCTCCAGGAAAACCAGCTGCTTCCAACAACAGCTTAGAAACACAAAAAAAAAAAAAAAAAAAAACCACACACACACAAAAAAACAAGAAACCAAAAAACCCCCCCCCCAAAAACAAAAAAATACACACACACACAAAAAAACCAACACACGCACACAGAAAAAGATCTTGAATAAATAAAAAAGGACCAAAGGAGTGGAATAAACCCGCCGGGGGGGAAGGAGCTGCTCAGCTTCGTCACCGGTGTCCCCCAAGGTGCCCATTTCATCGGGGAAAAGCATCCCCGGTTCTGGCGGCGCCGAGGCAGGAGGAGAGGGGGGCCGGGAGCTCTGAGGTCTCATCCCCATCCCCATGGAAGCTGCTCGGGCACCGTTTCCGCACCTTATTTGGCTATTGCTGCCCGGCCGGAGTGAGGACTCGTTGCAAACAGTGGGAAGAGCCCTGGGGGATGCTTGGCTGCCTCTGACGCCACAGCTTTCGCCCGGTGCATTTTTGACCTGGCTTTTGCGTCTCGACCGAGCATTGGAGCTCCTGCCGCCCGCCTCCCCGCACACCCACGCTGGGAGGGATGGAGAACCACCTCCCCCAACCATCACCACCACCATCACCCCGGGATGGTGGCACCCAGCCTCCACCGGGATGGAGAGGGTGCAGAGAGAACGGTTTTTCCCCGTCCTGGGGGAAAGAGGAAACTCCACAAAGAGTTTTTAAAAGGCAGGAGGACGTGGAATCAGCTGTAGTAAAAAGGTTACCAGCTCCGGCGGCGGAGCCGTGTTGGATTGCATCAGCTGGGAACCTCATCCAAAGCCCCGGGAAAGGGAGAGGGAGAGGGAGAGTAACCCTTTCCCATTTATTGCCCTATTGTTTCCCCCCGGCTGGAAGAACACCGAGATACAATCTGTGAAGGCTTTGTTGTTACAGCTCTCCCAAGCCCTCGCCCCTGGAAATTATGCTCCAGCCACCAAGTTTGGGGGAGGGGAGAGGAGGAGGAGGGGGGGGAGTCACACTGATGGGGATTAAGGCCCAGGGGAGGATTTTGGAGGGGGAAGTCATCTGCTGTCCGTCCTCCCACCGGTCGGGGCAGCGTTACCCAATTTCCCTCCGGAATAGAATCAGAGAATCAATCATATTTTGTTTGGAAGATGCCTTTAAGGTGTCTTGATGACTTTAATGATGACTCGATTGACTTTAATGATGACTCGATGACTTTAAGATCATCTCAAGTCACTTTAGCCCAAACCCTCCGTGCTGTTGATGGGTAAAATCTCGTTTACTCCCCCCCGAGCGAGCTCAGTAAAGCCTTTATTAACACATAGGGGAAAGCAGAGGAGCAGCCCTTTCTGAATATCTCCATTACAACAGCAAAAGCCAAAAGGTGGCAAGACCTTCCCATCCCCACTGAGAGGGTTTTTGGTGCCTTCACGACGGCAAAGCTCCTGCTGCCATCCGTATCCCAGGATGGGGGAATGGTGCTGGTGGGTGGACAAAGCTGTGGGCCAGCAGAGCCATCCCCAAGGTAGCCGGGGAGGGCAGGGCTTTGTCGGGATGTGGCTTCCCATCACCTGGCACGACACAGGATGCATCCCACCACTGACCAGCCCACCAGACCTCCAAAGGCAGCCCTTTTCCGTGTGGCGGTTTTTCAGGAAGCCCGGTTGCCTTGGCGGGATGTGTGTATCATTGGGTGGAGAGCTACAGGAAGCGGATAATATTAATTTATTTATTTAACGGCTTGGGTTTGTTTTTTTTTTTGGTTACTCCATTTGTGCCGCTTCGGACCTTTATTGAAAGTCGGTCCCTATTTCCTAGATTGGCCGAGGATGAGGATGGAGGGAGCCATCGGCGCGGGCTCGGCGCGGGCCACGGACTGCGAGGTTAAGGTAAGGGTTGGCCTAACGGGGAGTATTTTGCTTATGAATCGGCGAATTCATGAATTATGAAAATACGCTTTTTTATGGGCAGAGTTAAAAAAAATATAAAATAAATAAGAGACCCTCAAGGCAGCAAAAAATAAGACACCCTAAAGGCAGAAAAAAGTAAGACACCCCAAAGGCAGAAAAAAATAAGAGACCCTAAAGGCAGAATTGGGCAAAGGCTGCCGTGGGAAGGCAGAGCCGCAAGTCTTTGGGCCACCGACTTGCTGGGGTGGCTCATGAGTCCCCCGCTCCGCTCGCCCCGGGACCACCGACCGCCGAGCTGAGCCGAAACGGGCCGAGCCGGGGCCGAACCGAGGCGAGCCGAGCCGAGCCCAGCCGGGAGATGAGGGGCAGCTCCAGGACTACGCGGGGGGGGGGGGCGGGGGGGGGGGGGGGGGGGAGCCGAAGCTAGCCGGGCCGGGCCGAGTCGAGTTGAACTGTGCCGAGTCCAGCCGAGCTGAACCGAACCCAACCGAGTCGGGTCGGGTCGGGCCGAGCCGCCCCCCGGCAAGTCCCGGATGTTGGAGCGGCCCCCGCTTGCTCCGTCCTTCGCTTCCATAAAAGGCCAAGGGGCCCGGCGGCGCAGGGCGCGTTTTTCCTTTAATTATTATCCCCCTCCTCCTCCTCCTCCTCCTCCCGCCTCGCCTCCTCCTCCCTCTCCCCGCCCGCCCCTTCTCCTCCCGCGGCGGCCCCGCAGGCAGCGGCTGGGGGGCGGCGGGGCAAGGGCTGCAAA